GACCTCTACGGGGCGCCTGGGTGACTCATTCAGTTGGGTGTCCAACTTTGGCTCAGGTCATGATCTCACAGTTCACGAGTTTGAGCCCCATGTCAGGCTCTGTGCTCAGAGCCTGGATCCTGCTTCGGATTCTGGTGTCTCCCTCTCTCTCTGCCCCTCCCCAGCTCATGCTCACTTGCTCGCTCTCTCTCTCTCTCTCAGAAATAAATAAACTTTAAAAAAATTTTAATTAAAAGAAAGAAACCTCTGCTATATACCTATTACCTAATATGGCAGTACTTTCCAGATTTGTTTGGTAGAGCCCTAATTCTACAAGATGTGAATAGGTATTCTCTGAAAAAGACATACTGGAAACAAATGTTTAGAAAAATAATGATTTCCTTACTTTCGATTTTTCAGCCTTTTATATACAATGTATTTTATTCTGTGTCTCCAACAGGGAGTAAAATAGATAGTATTCCACAAATTCATTAGATCATGAAATATTTTTATTGTCGTTGCTGAGCTCTAGAAAGATTAATGTTATTTAGTAAAATGTTAGGGGGACACTGGCCAAATGAATAAATTCTCAACTTTTAAACTGCATTTAAGGCCTTTCATAGTTTCTCATGTTAAATTAGATATCCCCTGCTGTTCCCTTAGCAGTCTTTCCGTATGTCCTTCTGAAGTTTTCTTTTAATGTACTAGGGTTATCTGTCTCCGTCTTCCTTGCTGACTCTGGGGGCCTATCTTTATCTCTATTTCCTCAGCACTGGGCAATATCTGGCACATAGTAGCGCAATAACAACTCACTGAATAATAAATGGATCTATTTCTGAAGTAGAAATTTCTCTGCTAGCCATTTCCCCAACTCTGTTAGTATTTTCATACTTACGGGATCAGTAGTTGCCTTAATTTGTAGGTTAGGAAAAAGAATAAAATTATATATTAGAGCTGAAACTGACCCTCAAGCTCATTCAGGCTGGTGGTTTTCAGACTATGTGCCACAGACTCTTAAGTGTCCCACAGACCCCTTTCCCACCAGCTGCTCTTCCTTGTGGGGCTATTAAAGGGAATGGGAGGAAAAAATAGGCATATGAAGCACATTTCTTTTAGCAGTTTTGAATAGTGGGTTTTTGGGGTGCCTGAGTGGCTCAGTCAGTTAAGTGTCCAACTTCGGCT